TGCAGCTTTCTTTTGTTGGCAGTCCTAGAGTATTCTGCTACCTCATCATTGGGTCTTTCCCCCTTTTCAAAGAAGCTCTCCAGTGACGTTTGTTTTTTTTAATCATTTTGGCTAGGGTTAGCTTATGGCCTTCCCAAAATTGTGAATGAGACAAGTGCACAGTACAGGAAAGAGGTATGGATGGAAGTGGTAAATAAAATAATGGGTGGGCCACATGTAGACTAAAATAAGCACTGAATTTTGACTCAAAGCCTGCCACCAGGCGCAGCTATACAAGTGAAGTACATCGAGTCACTTGCCACTCACTGATAAGGTTTTGATATGAGTCTGCAAGCAGTGGATTTATTATGGTTTCTCTGCAGTCAAACCTCAGTGCTAACATTAATCTGTATTTGCAGCTGCTCCCCAGCACTAGCGTCACTGCCTCAGCTCCACCTGAGATCATCAGGCATTAGATTTTCATAAGGAGCAGGCAACCTAGATCCCTTGCATCCGCAGTTCATAATAGGGTTTGTGCTCCAACGAGAATCTAATGTTGCCACTGATCTGACAGAAGATGGAGCTCAGGCAGTAATGCCAGCAATGGGGAGTGGCTGTAAATACAGATGAAGCTTTACTCGCTCACCTGCCACTCACCTCCTGCTGTGCGGCCTGGTTTTTAACAGGCCACAAACTGGTACTGTGGCCCAGAGCTTGGGGACCCATGGTCTAAAGAATCGGGTTAGCTGTGGGGTTAGAAAACAGAGTTGCTGCTCTTGTGAACCACACAGATGCTCACTGGGACAGAGAACTGGAGTAGGAGAAGGAAAAGCAGGCCTGGGGAAGAGAGTGGGTCAGTTTTTACATGTTTGGCTAAAGGTGTCTATGAGACAGCCACTGGGAACACCTGGACAACTGGACACAAGATGCGAGATATAAGTCATCAGGGCTATAGATTCAGAACTGACTGCAAATGTCAACATGTAAAGGGCAAATGTGAGATGGCCACATGCAAATGGCACATGTAGGTAGTACATGTGAACTGGCAACCTGTAAGTGGCACATATAAATGGCACACGTGAATGGGCAACATCTATGTGGCACATGTAAACACCACACATGAAGTGGCAACATGTAAGTGACACATGTAAATGGCAATAGAATGAGAGTTGGTCAGATGTTCTAGGTGACATGCAGGAAAAAGAAAAAGACAGAGCTCTGCAGCAGGACACCTTTAGAGGAAAGGAAAAATAGCACGGACGGGAGGAAGAAAAGCAGCAGCAGAAAGGCAGAACACTGACAGAGACAAGGCATGAAAGTAAGGTTTGCATCTGCAGGGAAGGAGGCATGTCTGCCCCCAGTCATCTGGATGGGTTCCCTGGAACACAGGGTCATGGTGGACCCTCGTGGTGGGATGTGGTGCCTCAGAGGAAGAGGGGGGAGAGCTCCTTGCCAGTTGGGGACACAGCAAGGACATGGCTGACAATGCCAGGCATAACCCCTCCCATCCTCCACGTCACTGGCACCTCTACCCAGATGTCCCAGCCTGCATACTGTGAGACATGCACTGCTGTAGCTTAAGCCCCTAGTCTATGGTATTTTAGTTTTAGCAGCCAGAACTAAGTTCTGAACCGAGATGCAGGAGCTGGGCAGTTTAAAGAGCAAAAGATGAACAGTGCCAAATGAAGCAGGGCTGGAAAGAAGATGATGATGAAACATGCTCAGTGGACTTGATGACCCAGAGTTGCGGAGGGGCCTGAAGGCCAGGCAGGCAGGAGGGACCCGCCGGGGTAGCACTATAGGCGGAAGGGCCCGCAAGGGGGGCACCACAGGGAGAAGGGGCTAGCAGGGGAGAACCACCACAGAGGGACCAGAGGGGTGAGCAGCACAGCAGGAGGGCCCCACAGGCAAAGACAGGAGGGCAATGAATGTGACCAAAGCTCTCAAGAATCTTGGCATTAAGGGAAAAGAGAGAAAGGGGAAACTAAAAAGATAGCTTTCCTTTCTAATTTTTATACAAAAGCCATACGCAGAAAACACAGGACAACTGGTCCATTGAAAAGAAGACATACACTGAGTGCAGTGGCTCTCACCTGAAATCCCAGCACTTTGGGAGGCAGAGGCAAGGGGATTGCCTGAGCCCTGGGGTTCGAGACCAGCCTGGGCAACATGGCGAGACCTCATTTCTTCAATAAATCAAAAAATTAGCCGGGCATGATAGCGTGTGGCTACAGTCTCAGCTACTTGGGTGGCTGAGGCGGAAGGATCACCTGGGCCCAGCAGGTCAGGGCTGTGGTGACCATGAACATTCCACTGCATCCAGCCTAGGTGACAGAGTATGACTTCAAATAAAAAAAATAAAAATAAAAATAATAAAAGAAGATATGCAAATCCCATGTAATTTCTTTCGGTAACTAGTGACAAGCATAGACCAGGTCCCTGCAGACGTGACCCTCATCTTCTAGTTTCATGTGCCAAAATGCCATTCTCATTTCAGAGGCACGCACGTGAGGAAGGCATCAAGAGACTGTGAGGTGCATATCTGCACTATGTGTGCAGGCTCACGTTCTGCCCCAAAAGCATGAGATTCTGGAGGCCTACAAAGATACTGGGGAAATCTCTGCTGGGCTGACTGAAGTAGAGACTAAAAGGGCAACACACTCGTGTGCCTGGACCTAGACGTTATGGCAGCAATGCTGAGGTGACAGGACCTGGCCTCTCCTCCCCTCCTTTACTCTGGGGGCTGTGGTGCTTACCAGTAAGAACGAGTCCTAGGATGACAGGAGACACACTACTTCCCTTCATATAGCTCATGAGCTGTAGGGTGGACACAACACAGAGCAGCTGGAGCAGCCAGTTCCCTCTCCACTGCTAAGTGGTGGCAGATAACAAGGCCAAAGCTGAGAAAGGAGGTGCAAGGGATGGGAAGACTGAGCCCAGACAGCTTCATCTAGCACCTGGACCCAGCCATGACTGTTCATCTGTGCAAATACCTTCCTTCTAGCATAAGCTAGGCATGCATGGGTGTGTTACTTACAATAGAAATTATGACTATTTCATATGTCTAGCTACTTTTCTTGGTAAACACTCTGCTTATGATAATTATTGCATGTCCATAATGGGCTTTTCTGAAAAGTATGACCCTGTAAATCTCATTCTTAACATTCAGGCACTTGGAATCTGGCCTGGTCACTATTCATAGACACAAAAAGAAATATAGGAGTCATTGTATGGTTATTCTAACAATTAAAAATGAACAACCAGCAGTTATACCAGACAAATGAATACTTTCAAATTTTAAAAAGTCAGACCATCAATAGAAAGGACTCAAGTCATTCAACACTTGACGCTGAGCAGAGACTTCCAGATGTACAAGGACTTACACTCAACAAGGTATTCTCAGAAACACTGTCATATAGCAAACATCACCTTCTTAATATCAAAGAGTATAGAATAAAAGAACTGTCAACCACAAAATCAGATCAACATGGTAAATTTCCTACTGATAACATATTTTCTAATCATAGCCTTAACAAATATTACAGAAGAAAGATAAAAGAGTGGGACACAAATTAAGAAATTATCAAAGTAATCTATGCAAAAAAATTAAAAATAAAACCAGAACAAACAAACCTCACCCTCCACCCAAGAAAACCCTAAACATAGAGACAGCTGCTCTCTGCACCATCTCTCTACCCACACCCTACCCTTGGAACACTCTAAACCAGGTGGCATCACAGATGCTCTGCTTATGGTCAGCATTTCTCTTAGAATACATTGTATTAAGAATTATCTCTGCCCTTATACCCATAGGAAGCAGCTTCTCTTTGCAAGGTTTTACGGACATGAGCAGTATACTTTCACATTCCATTTTGCTGTTTAAGCCAATGTTTCGCACACATAGCTCGTGTGAAAGCAGGTTCCTTCATCACATTTTTTTTTCTGAGTAGGAATTTCACTCTGTCGCCCAGGCCAGAGTGCAGTGGCACACTCGAGGCAACTCCGGCGTCGACTTGCTGGGCTCTGGCAATCCTCCCGCCTCAGTCTTCCAAGTAGCCGGAATTTCAGACACGCACTACCATGCCCGGCTATTTTTAATTTTATTGTAGAGATGAGGTCTTGCCAAATTGCTGGGCTGGTCTTGAACCCATGGGGTCAGGCAATCCACTCCCCTCGGCCTCCCAAAGTGCTGGGATGATAAGCTGAGCCACTGAGTCCGGCCATCACACTTTTTGTTCTTAGCGTCACGTGATTGGAATATGCTCCATGAATTCTGACAGTCCATGTTTCCTCACCATCTAGCAGTATTTTACACTTAGCACTGGAAAAATCGTGGCCAAATACCTAAAGAATTCAACTACTGACCTGGAGAAACTGGAGCCACAGGACATCCTGCTGCAAGGTCAGGTGCTGCTGTTTGGGGAACGTTAGCATTTTCATGGCGGCGATGAGGGTCCCCAGTTATCCACATATGATGTATGTGAAACCACAGTGACACCTGGGTGAGGCAGCTAACCTTGACACTTGCAGAAACACCAACGTCGGTGCAGTAGTTGTGATGGAAGGCACAACTACTGCTGGCAGGAGGTTTTGTCTATGAACAAAAGCTGGAAAGCTAACTTCACTCCCCTAGTGAGGGACAGCACATTTGAAGGCCCCTTAAGATAACTGCAACACTCTGGGCACTGAACTCAGACAGCCCTGAAGTCCACTGAGTCTGTCAGAGGGACAGGCACTTGGCTAGCGGAGCTGAAACATCACCCTCCCTCTAATAACTCCTGTCAGGAATGCGCTGCCACTCTGACCAGCTCCACGAGCCTGGTAGGCAGGCACTTAGCAGCTGGGAGGCACTGAGGAGCCCTGCGGCAGGAGCTATCCTGTACACACCCTCTGCCTTTCCAGCCATCTCCCCATTGACCAGCACCTCTGAGCAAGCAGGCAAACTTGCTCCCCTGGGAAAGAAATTGTGCTTCGAGATATTTTGCACCACAGAAGTGTGGCGTGTTGAATAGGACACTTACGAGGTTTTCCATATCGGTGCGAGCCAGCACGTAGGTTCTAATATTACTGTTCTGGTGGAGCAGCGTGTACAGGAGGAGAGTTGCTTGGTCAGACGTCTGCTGTGCACACAGCGCTGTGTACAGACTGTTGAAGTTGATCTGGAAGGCGTGTGGCGCTGATGAGGGGAAAGGGCTGTTGTCTGAGACAGAAAACAAAGGCACATCACCGTTTTCTAGACTGTGCTTTATAGAAATAATAAAAACATTGTTAAAGAAATGTGTACATCTCCACTGTAAATATTCCACGTTAGAGTGGGGAAAAAAAGAAAAAAAAATGTGTACAACTCAATTCCCCTTAATTTTATGTAAAGTCATGACATTTCAGATTCAAAACATCAATATGTACTTTAAACTTTACTTAGAAAAGACCCAAGTCACATAGTCTGACTCTGTGACTTTATTTCCCATTAATATAGCTGGAAAGAATCACTATAAGAACAGGACCTTAAATAAAAAGAGCTCTGGAGTTAGGCAAAAGGTCCCACAATAGAGACAATTTAACCAGGAGATTGAGATACTTTGTTACCCAAAAAAGTGGCCACCAATCCTACAAAAAAAAAAAAAAAAAAAGTAGAGACAAAGGATACAGTTTCTACATAAAACAGAAAAGCCTCTTTCAAGATAGGATTGAAAAGAAAAACTGCCTTGAAAGTAGGTTAATTTTCTTCCATGAATAAATCTGGCTTAAGTACTCACTAATGCTGTTATTCCATTTATGAAGAAAATTGGCTAAAATCATGACATATAATTTGGCTGGTCTAAAAGTAACATCAAAATCAGCACAGAGGTTCTGTGAATTACAATAGGCTTACATACCAATACACCCATTGTAAGTTGAAAATAGCCAAAGTAAAAAATGCATTTAAAGCTGGATATGGTGGTACATACCTGTATTCTCAGCTACTTGAGAGGCTGAGGCAGGAGGATCACTTGAACCTAGGAGTTCAAATCCACCCTAAGCAACATAGCGAGACTCTAGCTCTTAATTTTTTTAAATTTAATATGATTTAAGTATAACTTTGCCTAGTCTACCATAAATGTGCTCAGAATATTTACATTAGCCTACAGTTGGACAAAAGCATCTAACATAAAGGCTATTTTATAGTACAGAGTTGACGATCCATGCAACTTACTGACCACAGTAGTGAATGCATGTTGCTTGTGTACCATCATAAAATTGAAAAATTGCAACTGAACCACTGTGAGGTTGAGGACTGCCTGCATATTAGCTTCTACAAGGCAGAACACAGCAAGCACAAACAACTACCAGAAAACATCCCCAACACTGTTTAAAGTAAAACTTAGCCTCATTGACTACCACTGCTAAGAAACACTCGGCATAGCCGGGCTCGGTGGCTCAGCCTGTAATCCCGTGCCTTTGGGAGGCTGAGGTGAGTGAATTGCCTGAGCCCGCGGGTTCGAGACCTGCCTGGGCAACTTGGTGAGACCTCATCTCTACAATAAATCAAAATGAACCCGGCGTGGTAGCGCGCGCCTGTAGTTCCAGCTACTTGGAAGGCTGAGGCGGAAGGATCACCAGAGCCCAGCAGGTTGAGGCTGTGGTGGCCGGGAGCGGCCACTGCACTCCAGTCTGGGTGACAGAGTGAGACTCCAACTCAAAAAAAAAAAAAGAAAGAAACTCTCGGCATAGTCCCTGGAGCTATGAGAAGCGTAAGTCACACCCACAAAGGGCAATTCTCTATATCCCCCAAGTGGCACATCTTTCCTGCAGTTACCTGGATTTGCTGAGAAACTGAGACAAAGAAGGTTAGGAAGAAAAAAAGTAAAGATAAGTTCAACTGACTCAAAGAAAGTCATAATCTCATCAAATGAAACATTGGAACATGGTAGCACAAAGAGCTGGTATCTGTATGTGTTTTTAAAAGTAAGCACCAATAACTTTTTTAAAGCCTTTGAAACACAGGAGCACCACCAAAACAAAACAAAATGATCGGCTTAAACATTTCTGAAAGTTGCGCTATATGAAAAGAGATGTGTCCCAATACGAAATCTTTGACAGCACAGCCCTGCACCTCTAAGGTTCTCCTTCCGCTGCTCTCCAACTGTGAGAAGAAGGCCTCTCAAAATGCCTCACATCTACTATACATCCAGGGCCTCTCTTTGCCTCCCACATTAAAATAGAGGCTATTATTTCAATCCTAACACTGTTTTTTTGACACACTAAATATACCTTTGTGTGGCTGACATATTTTTGCAAGGCAAGGCAAGAGGAAGCTTGGCGTGCATGGTGAATGTGCATGAGAGAGGAAGCATGGTGTGCATGGAGAGTGTGCATGCAGGAGAAAGCGTGGCATGCACAGAGAGTGTCTGTGCAAGAGGAGGCATGGTGTGCATGGAATGTGTGTGTGCCTGAGGAAGCACTGCATGGACAAAGAGCGTGCATACCCGAGGAAGCGTAGTGTGCACAGTGAGTGTGCAAACACTGCAAACCCCACAGAACGCTCACGGGAGGCCTCTGTGTGCCACTTTGCACTTCCTTAGGACAGAAGCCTGTTCGCCAACCTGCATCAGACCTGACTGCAGAGGAAGTGGTGTTGTGTATGTCAACAACATCTACACATCGCCAGCCACTAAGTGCTGTGAACAGCTGCTGCACTAAACACCTTGTATGTGTGATCCCTTATTTAATCCACACAACAGCTGGGCCATTTTCTGATAAGTTTTACAAAGGACAAAACAGAAGTTTAAAGAAATTAAGTAACTTTTCCCAGATCAGCTCTGAATAAAACCCAGATCAGGCTGGGCTTGGTGGCTCACGCCTATAATCCCAGCACTTTGGGAGGCCAAGGTGAGAGAATTGCCTGAGCCCGGGGGTTCGAGATCAGCCTGGGCAGCTAGGTGAGACCTCATCTCAACGATAAATAAATAAATAAATTAGCCGGGCGTGCACCTGCAGTTTCAGCTACTTGGAAGGCTGAGGCAGAAGGATCGCCTGAGCTTAGCAGGTTGAGGATGTGGTGGCCAGGAGTATGCCACCGCCCTCCAGCCTGGGTGACAGAGTGAGATTTCAACTCAAAAAAAAAAAACAAAACAAACCCAGATCAGCCTCTGTGGTTACTACATTAGACTGCTTTCTGTAACAACAGCAGTGAGTCTGACTATAGTAAATGCCCATTTAATTCTTATAAGGACCCACATGTGAGACAGATATCATGATTCCTGCTTTTCAGATAAGAGATACTAGTATTTAAAGAATAAAGACTGGAGGCCTGGTGCGGTGCCTCATACTTGTAATCCCAGCACTTTGGAAGGCCAAGGAGGGTGGCTCCCTTGAGCCCAGGATTTCAAGACCAACCTGAACAACACAGTGAGACCTTGTCTTTACAAAAAAAAATTTTTTAATTAGTTGGGCATGGTGGCGCATGCCTGTAGTCCCAACTACTTGGGAGCCTGAGCCCAGAAGGTCAGAGCTATAGTGAGCTGTTGACTGCGCCACTGCACTCCAAACTGGGTGACAGTGAGACACTGACTCAAAAAAAAAAAAAAGATTAAAAACTTGGATATGAACATCTTTTGTTTTGTTTTGTTTTGTTTTTTGAGTTGGAGTCTCACTCTGTTGCCCAGGCTGGAGTGGCCATCCCAGGGTTGACCTGCTGGGCTCCGGCAATCCTTCCCGCCTCGGCCTTCCATGTAGCTGGAACTATAGGAACGCGCTAACAAGCCTGGCTAATGTTTTATTTATTGTAGAGACGAGGTCTCACCAAGTTACCTGGGCTGGTCTCGAACCTGCAGGCTCAGGTGATCCACTCGCCTCAGCCTCCCAAAGTGCTAGGATGACAGGCCGAGCCACTGAGCCTGGCCAGGATGTGAACATCTTAAAGCCAACATTTTGAATCACTATACAACATGATCACCTGGAAGATGACTATCCCGAGAAAAGTTCAACCCTAACACTCACATTTGGCATCAGCAATAAAAGTAACAATAGTAATACCACATACCGCATACTTGCTATGTGCAAAATCTGAATTGATCTTTTTTTTTTATAATCAATATTTTTTATTATGATGTTGTGGGGTACAGTTAAGGGTTAGGTATACAAATACATTTCATTCAGGCACCCTATTGATAAGAGGTGCTTCCCCCACCCCCAGACAGATATTTGCTACCATTAATCCCATCTCCCTCCCCCCTGTATTAATCATTTTTAAAGCCTGGTTGTTTATTATTTACACAGATACTATTAGGTGATATTATCTCCACAGATGAAGTCATTGAGGCTAACTAAAAGTTAGCTGCCAACAGTCTTGCAGTGAACAGAGGTATTATGTGAACCCAAGTCTGCTTGACTCTAAAATTGGCTTTCTTAACAATTAAGCCACACTGTTACCAAGAAGAAAAGTATGGTAATGAGAACAAAAAATATGACCAAACACATGAATTTTCACTTTTTAATCCATCAAAAGGTCACTGATTCCCTATTTCCCTGTGCTATGGTTTCAATGTCTGTGTCCCTCCAAAATTCATGCTGAAACTTAATCTTCAATACAACAGTATTGAGAGTGGGGCCTTTGACAGGTGACTGGGTCATGAGGACTCCTTCCTTGAAAGAAGAGGCCTTACACATCAGTCAGCCCTTCTGGCACTTCAGTCCTTCCTCCAGGTGAGGACACAGCTAGAAGGTGCCATCTTGGAAGCAGAGACCAGGCCCTCATCAGAAACAGACACTGCTGGCGCCTTGAAGCTGGGTTCACATTTCAGTCCCCAGAACTGAGAGAAAAAAAAATTCTGGTCTTTATAAATTACCCAGCCTCAGGTATTTTATTATAGCAGCACGGACTAAACAGCCTACAAATGATAATACCAGATCTGGCAATGGCACAACTAACTGGCAGACTCAGTCACCATCTGTGAGAAATGCGTATTAGAACAGACCCAGAAGGTACATGGTCTGGGGTATCAGAATTCCTAAAACTGTTTCTCTCCAATAACTGCAATTCTCATATCTTAAGAGTCTAACTCAAGTCACGCACTGCATGACAACTTCTCAGTTAACAGCAGGCCACAGACACAACAGTGGCACGCACCATCGGATGATCGTGTTTCTACTGCACCATTTCTACAGTTAGGTGTGTCTACATATACAAATGCACTGGGCAACAACAGCCTTGGGTGTTTGGTACAGTTGCGGGCTGCACAGGCCTGTAGTGTACCACACAGCCTAGGTGTGTAGCAGGCTGTGCATCCAGGTCTGTGAAAGTATACACGGCGTTGTTCACACAACAAGAAAACTGGCTAACAATATGCTCCTCAGAACACAGCCCTTATGGTTAGCATGACTGCACTGCCATTGCCTTGCTTTTAAAGTGCAGCCTTTAGACCGGGTTTGATGGCTCAGCCTGTAATCCCACCACTTTGGGAGGCCGAGGTGAGTGAACTGCCTGAGTCCGCGGGTTCGAGACCCACCTGGGCAACGTGGCAAGACCTTGTCTCTACAATAAATCAAAATTAGCCAGGCATGGTAGCACATGCCTGTAGTTCCAGCTACTTGGAAGGATGAGGCAGAAGGATAGCCAGAGCCCAGCAAGTGGAGGCTGCAGTGGCAGGGAGCGGCCACTGTACTCCAGTCTGGGTGACAGAGTGAGACTCCAACTCAAAAAAATAAATAAATAAAGTGCAGCCTTTAGCAAGAGACTGTTCCCACGTGGGAGACCTGCTCATGTTCTACTTTACGGGCTGCCAGAGTACAGCTTCGGCCGCCTGCTGCCAGCTCTGGAAATGAGACTGAATGGAGCCCAAGCCACCTTGTACACTGGGCGTTACCTAGGCTGCCTTTGTGCTGGCCTGGTGGGGGAAGGGGCTGCTGTGGGCACCACAGGGCCTCACAAAGCCACTGACCCTTTATGGAAGAGAAGTTTGATGTGTGTCCTAGTTTTTAGTTCTATAAAACGCTAACTGGAATATTGGCTTTAAATGAAAGACTTAAACAACCTATCCTCTGGGATTTTCTAGGTTAATTCTAGCCCTATCAGGTAGGACAGGCTGATCCAAATCTTTCTGGTTTAGTTATCTCTGAAAGAAAGGTAAATTTAAGTGGATCTAAAGGACCACAGCCCTCTTCTAAGATTCATTTGATCTTCCTGAGAATTTTGACGGGAAAATCGCCTATCTCCCACACGATAAACTGCCTGGAGTCAACAACACACTCCTCATCAGAAAGCACGTTAGAGAGAAGCACCACAGACCTTGTGTATTCTTGAAGGACACGATGGCCTGTCTGTAGGGATTGGGGGCGTCCGGGGCATCAGTGAGGTTGGCCAGCACAAGCAGGAGCAGGAGGCTCTGGTTGGCCAGAGGGGAAGAGAGTTCTGGAGCAGAAGCCGCCTTGCTGCCCACACCGCCCAGTGTGAAGACTGTCCAGAGTCCAGCTGAGGAGAAAACATGCAAGATGTCTGAAAGGGTTTCAGTACAACATTCTGTGTAACACAACACACTACTGCATCAGGCAGCTCCAAAGTATAGAGCAACAATCACATCTGCATGACATGGTTGACAAGGCCAGGAATAACCTCCTTGATACAAAAACTGGTCAAACACTGACTGCCTTTAAAACAAAAGAGAAAAATAGAGATTTTTATTTTTAGATAGCCTAAGTCAAACAAAAACACATGAAATATAGCAGAAAAATGTTAAAAGAATAAATGCATCATGATCAAAAGGCTTTGTCTCTAACATACAACAACTACTCACCATTTTTAAAGTATTTCTTTCATTTAAAAAAAAGGTGAAAAAATATGGTCATCTCAATAGATACCAAATGTGCATGTGCACACACACGCGCGCGCACACACGCAGACACACACACGTGCACACACACACACACACTTAGAAACTATTTCTAACTTAAAGAAAAAACATTATTATAAACTAGAGAGAGAAGGAAACCTCTTTGGTTTCTAAAGTCCATCTGACCAGAAATCCATAGTAGTCAAACACTGTAAATATTCCCATTAATATCATTAACACCAGCACTGTACTACTGGTGTTCCAAGCAAAAACATTAAGACACACACACACAAAAAAGGACCCAAAAAAGTTATCTGCAAGCAATATGATGTTCCACTTAGAATTCCAGTCCAGTATGGTACCTACCAGTCATTAGTGGTTACCGAGCATGTGAAATGTGATTCCAAAGTCCTATTGCATTGTGCTGTAACTATACAATGCACCCTAAATTTTGAAAACTTAATACCCAAAAAAGAATGTAAACTATCTCACTGATATTTTTATGCTAATAACATGTTGAAATGATTATATTCTAGATATGTTAGGCTTAAGTATATCACTAAAATTAGTTTCACGTGTTTCTTTTTACTTTCTTAATATAACGACTAGAAAAATTTACAATCACATATGTGGCTTGTATTATATTTCTATTGGACAGATTAGTCCTACAACATCAAACAGAATCAACTGACACTCTATTACTGACAGACTATTGGAAATAGCAGAGGATTTTTGGTATAGTGCTACAGATATAAGATGCAACAAAAACAAACAAAAACAAAATCAAAAGCCTTATATGTGTGCAATAAATAACTAGAAAATATATTTAATTCCAACCGCAACATTAGCAAATCCAATAAAATATTCAGGAGCAAACCTAAAATACGTAAGATCTTTAGGAATGACAACCATAAACTTGACTGAAGGCCATATGAGATCTGAGTTAATGCAAAGGCATAACATGTTTCTGGACAAAAAGAGTCAGTACTGCCAAAATGTTAAATGTATACGAAGTGGATCTAAAATTCAGTATAACCATCAAAATGCCCATAGATATTTATGTGACTTTTATTTATTATTTATTTATTTATTTTTTGGAGTGGGAGTCTCACTCTGTCGCCCAGACTGGAGTGCAGTGGCCGCTCCCGGCCACCACAGCCTCGACCTGCTGGGCTCTGGCTTCCAAGTAGCCAGAATTACAGGCATGCGCTACCACACCCGGTGATTTTTTTATTTATTGTAGAGATGAGGTCTTGCTGCCCAAGCGGGTCTTGAACCCGCGGGCTCAGGCAATCCACTAACCTCAGCCTCCCAAAGGCACGGGATTACAGGCTGAGCCACCAAGCCCGGCTATGTGATTTTTAAATATAGTATAAATAAAATATTGTTAGACCAAAAAAAACATAAGAAAACACTTCTCTCTTATATGAAAGCATGTGCTTATTCACATAGCAAAAATTTTATAAAGCCATGGTATGTAAAAGTGTGATTTGGCAGCAGAATAGACAAACAGATTGACAGAAGAGAAATGAGGTTAGTTTAGAACTAAATGTATTTGAGAATCAAGTTTGTGATAAAGGCAGCACTCCAAGTCAGTAAGAAAAGAATAAGATTCAATTTCAATCATTTTCTTAGTATTTAATTGTAGTTTATGTAAGAAACAAAATCCAAGAGGATATGAAGAATAGTCATTTGACTATTTAAAATTAAATACTTTCAGGGGATAAAATATATCATAAAGTAAAAGACAAGTAACATACAAGAAAATACTTGTAGCATATATAACAAAATACTTTTAGCTAACAAATCAGTTTTTTGAAAGTAATCCAAAATAAAAATGGGCAAAGTCAAACAATAAAAAGCAAAAATAAATAAATAAATAAAATGGCAATGAGATCATTTATAAGAACAGAAAAATTTTAAAAGCCTGAGAACACTCAGTAGTATTGGTAAAGGACAGAAAATAACCAACATTATGACACCAAAGTGGTACAGAACTTTTCAGAGGATATTTGGCAGTTCTTGCTGGAAATAAACACCCCCTTCAACATTCTAATTCTTTTTTTTTTTTATACCAGAAAATACCTGAGTAGGTACACAAAAATGCATGTACAGGAATGTTTACTGTAATATTGTTTACAGTGGACAGGAACATAAGCTATGGTGAAGCCACAATGTGGAGTACAATATGATCAGGCAGGCCAGGCATGCATGCACCAGCAAGGATGTATCTTTAAGGCATACTGTTAATGAAAAAGCAAGTTGCAGTGAAAAACCTGAAGTAACAGTGTATATCTGTATGGATGTGGAGGTATACAAATACATTTTTCCAAACCTAAGTAGGACAAAGTGTTGTGCATCATACTGGTAACAGGGATCATCTCCAAAGAATGAGATGGAATTGCATGAATTCAGAGGATTTTTGTTTTATTGCATGTTTAAAATTTTTGCAATAATAATATACTCATTTCTTTCTTTAAAAGTAAATGTAAAGGAATAGAATGAAAGATCAATGTGGGCCCCATCAGCAAATCATGACATGGATGTGGAAAAGCCTCCTCAGTATACCAGTAAGTGAAAAAGGCAAGCCATAACCAGCACATCCCAAGAGTTTAAAAAGACATACAGACAGTGCATTTACACATGTGAATCCACGCATGGTAACAGGCACCTCTGGTCATGGAGCAGAGTGAGAGTGAAGGCGACTGGAAGGGACTCAGACTTGGCCGTGCACAGAATTCTACGGTCCACCCTTTCACAGCACAGATGCACTCAATCATGACTTAGGCCATTAAAAAACAAACAGGCCGGAAGGAAGAGAAGGAGGAAAGTCCTGGTCACCAACCCCAGAAAACTTGAGGTAATCTACTTTGGAACTAGGGAGACAGTCCTGTAATTTTCATTTTAACAACAACCACCAAGAAAAACTTCTGGTAATTTTGGAAGGAAAAATGACCAACATGTTAGCACTATGTATACCTAGGATAGTGGCAGCGGATGTGACATTTTACTTTAAACTTTGTACTTGTATATATTTTTATTATTTATTATACTAGGCAGATGTCATTTTTACAAAAACACCTGTATTAAAGGAATTGAATGCTTCTGCAAAGAAATGAAAAACAACGTAAGGCCGAATAAGCAACTGATACATTTTGTTTCTTCTGAACAAACACAGGAAGATACTCCACATTTCCTCTTTACACTGTAAACCGTTCGGAGGGAACATCTGTTTGTTTCCAATATTTCACACTTTTTATTGAACACATAATATGAACCTATTTCATAAACAGTCTAATACAATCTGTCATTTCTCACATAACTATGGACCTAAAATGGGTCACTGGAATCACCTAACTATTAACGTTTAAGAAGTTGTTATTGGCTGGGCACAGTGGTTCAAGCCTATAAACTCAGTACTTTGGGAGGCCGAGGCAAGAGGATTGCCTGAGCTCAGGGGTTTGAGACCAGCCTGGGCAACTTGGTGAGACCTCATCTCTACAATATATCAAAAAATAAGCTGAGTGTGGTGGTGCGCTTCTGTAGTTCCAGCTACCTGGAAGGCTGAGGTGGAAGGATCGCCTGACCCTAGCAGGTCGAGGCTGCAGTGGCAGTGAGCGTGCCAGGTGGCCGTGAGCATGCCACTGTACTCTAGCCTGGGCAACAGAGTGAGTCTCTGACTCAAAAAAAACCAAAACAAAACCTGTTAATGGGGGATGTTCTCCACTCCCAAGTGCTAGCGGCCCCAGAAGGGCATGCAGGGAGTCTCTGCACAGCTGGTATAGGCCTCAGTGTGAGCAAAGGAAACGCAGCTTTCAGGGAGAGAGGTCTTAAGATGACTGAAGAACATAGGAAGGCTTCTGTTAAGTTGTGTGTTCTTTCCTTTTCATTAGAGAAATCTGAATGAAAATTTTCAACTAATAATTGATCATTATACCATACATTTAAATGTATTCAAAACAATGCTCATGACATAGTTGAGAAACTTGAGACATTTAACAGGAAAAATCAAAATTAGGTAAGAAGTACAGTCAGTACCCAAATATGATTTGCTTTGGGATTGATTTGCTGTTCATCTGTAACTTTTTAAATTGTAAGCCACTTTCTTCCACTCAATTTGCTCCATGACTGTCTACCCCTGTATCCATCACTGTGTGGTCCAGGCTATGAGCAAAGAAAAACAATGACAAAGTTCAATCTGCAGCAAATGACCACACAATGCTCTCCCAGGTCCTGCTAGTGTGCTGGCCCCTTCACAGCTGCTCACCCACACTGCTAGAAGGGGCAACTGGCAGCCAGGACAACCTCCCAAGTAGAGTCCTGAGGTTCCTTCCCACAGCTTCACTGTCCTTTCTTCAAGACTTTCCAAGAGGATGGAAAAGCTGTTTCTACTGTTGGAGAAGCTAGCATTTTTTCAGGAAGCCCCCCACAGCCCTCCTTTCTTCTGGTGAACGGTGCTGCAATGTTGCCTTTCTTTACAGGGAGAAGTGGAGCAGCCAGTGACTGCCTGCACTATAGTTTATACTGGCCAACAGGACTGGATGACAAGTCTTCTAAAAGTTCCTTTCTCTTCACTGGTCCAAGTCTCTGATCTGTGACCCAAGAATCTTAGTAGAACTGCATTTTCCTGTTGGGGGGGAAA